AAAGGTTTGTTCAGGTGTATCCAAATGTAGGAACACCCGGTAACTCACTGGTGTCATATCCAATGTGACTTTTAGCAAAACATCTCACACTTTATCTTCTTCGCTCAATAAATGATGTATATTTAAGAAAAAAACCCCCAACTTTTATCTATGTATTTTTTATTTCCTATATTATTAGAGCAGCCATAACCTTATGTTTCCAAGAAAACTGATTATGCATCAAATAGCAGCATGAAAAGAGTGATACAATCTAGACACAGATCAACAGACCTCAACATCAAAACAAAAATCATGTGCAAAACATACTCTTGGTTTTCTACACAAAACTCAGCCACAACTCAGGCTAATACCTCTCTCCTTGTAGGAGCTACCCAGTGGCTGTGATATCTCCATTCAATCAGACTGGGCAGGAAATCCCAGAGTCCTGGAGTGATGTATCTGCCCCATCTCATCCATGAGTCATCCAGGATGAAGGGGTCACAATGGCAAAAGTTCATGCTTACCCATTATGTTCCCACACAAACATCTCTGAGCGAAGGCCCTGAGGCACGCAGCTCCCCGGTGCAGCCCCCAGCAGGATCACACCCATTCCATCACCACCTCGGCTGCATTTCCCTCCCCTCTCTCTGCCCCAAACCACCCTAAACCAGCAGTGACTGCACAGCTCCACCCTTTTCCGCCACAACCCACAAGCACCACTGAACACCACCTATGTTTACAGGATAAGGGCCTGTGGCTTCACCCCCAAAACCCAACAGGAAGACACCTCGCCAGCCTGCACCGTTGCACCGGGCGAGGTGGGGCTGGAGGAATTGAGTGATGGTGGCTGGGGATGACCACTCGTGGTGATGCTTTGGAGCAGCTGCTGTGTACGAGCTTTGCCCAGAGCAGATGTTCCCAGTGTGGGAGCTGGCGGTGGGCAAAAGAGGCTGGGTGCAGATCTGGCTGTCTGCACACAGCCTAAAGGGCTGATGGCGGAAAGTGATGCTCTCAGTCAGTCTCTCAAAATAAGGGCAAAAAACCAGAAACAGCGGAAGGGATGGAACTGAGGGCAATGAAGGGAAGTGATGAGAGGAGGGAAGTGTGCTGCTGAATGACTAAGATATCTTTTAAATGTCTTTTTTTTGCAGTTTGTCTTGTTGGACTGTGCAATCCACTGGCAATTACCCAGTGCAATTGTCTGCTCCAGTGTTGCAACTTGTATGTGAATTTTAATCCTGAAAGGATTAATGTGCAGGGAGAGGGAGGGAGCTGCTAATTTGGATTGTATTGCTAATATATTTAATACAATTAATATAAAGCAACACCACAGAGTTCTACTGAAAGAACATTTCAACTAAATGAGAAATAGGAAAGCAACAGAAGAAAGTATTGTGTGTGCTCAATCCTTCTCAAAGCTGTGCAACAGAAAAGATGCTGAGCCTCAACTACTACATTTCAGTTTTGTCTTCTGTGCAGTTTGGGTTGTTTCTTCTCACTTCTCTGGTTTTGAGAACCCCAGTTTAGCAGTAACAGTGGGGAGTTTTGACGAAATGTTGAGCGTAGAAAAGCAGTTTTTTTATGGGTAAAATCATGTGACATAAGCATACAGGCACACGTGCACATGTAATCTGGAGATGTAAATTGAGCAGGTGATTGCTATCCTATGTGCTATGGATATTCCAATAAAACATATCAAGCAGCAGAAAAAATGGAACAGTATTACAGGTAAAAATTATAACACATTAATTGTCTAAGTGCTCAGGGAAAGCCAGAAAAACAAAAGCTTGAGGCTTGGAAATGGAATTTTAAAAGGTATTTTATGGACATACAGCTCCTCTCCTATTCAAAGTCTTATAGTCTTATGAAGAACCCCAGTCTCAATTCCAGAGTCCTCTCGAAAAGGGCATTACAAGTATTCCTCAGTTTCTTCACTGCTCATAAAGCTCTATAATGGGTCCAGGATCCAGATTCAGAGGGCTTAATTTCACTTAAGTCTTTATTCTTCCTACTGCATGGACATCTCAGAGAGTCCTAGCATCAAAGAACAAGAGGAGACACATGAACTTAGATGGACGTTATGACCTCCTAATGTGGGCCCTGTCAGTGATCATTACTTGACTGAAGCATAGTTTTAATAGTGAATGGACATCTCTGGATGCAAACAAGACACACCTCAAAAGACCACTACTTGTCAAGGCAAAGTTTTTTTTATATGGCTCACTACAGAGAAAATCAGCAGTTTTACAGTCTTAATCCTAAACTTTCTTGATAACTGCAATTGTCATAAAGCATGCAATTAAAAGGATTGGATGTGATCTGCCAGGGTAGATAATATACAGATACCTGCCACAGCAACCAGATGGATGCCAGCTGTCTCTGCCAGCACTGCTTTCTAAAGGATAATCCCTATCCTTGAGTGGAATACATTAACATGCTTTCACTTCCTCAGATCAGAAACCTGTCTCTGTCTCTCAGCAGGTACTTAACACGGAAGAGACAGCTCCAATGAGAGAATGTCCTCCAGTTTCACCTGCCAGTATGTTCCAGTGATTTCAAAATCATGTTGTCTTTAGATCTGCAGTCTGGACTGTGCTGGACACTAAAGCTTGGTCCAGCAAATGCTAACACCCACACTTAGCTTGATCATCAAGCATGAGCAGTCAAAGCAACTTGACTTAAATATGGTTATGGTTAAATATGGTGAACAGATTATAGAGCTCAGTAGAGAGGACTGAAACCTAAGGAAGCAGCATATTAGAATCAAAGAACACATGTCTATTGCATCCAGGAATCCCTTTAGTACTCATTTCTCCTCTTTCCTCTATCTTACACTGTAGGGAACAGTCAAGGAACCTTTTCCAGCTCTTCAACAGCCCCCAGAAGCTGATCTCTGTCAGGGTGGTAACAACACTGTTAAACAACTCACAAGCACTGGAGAATTCTGAAGAGCAAAAGGTCTGAGTACAGATGATACCATCTCACCAAGTTGCCATATGCATAATCCTTGCACAGAGAGTACCTGGCCTCAGTTGGTAAATTAAATATTTTATCAAGTATCTTTGAAATAATGTTTTGTTTTTATTTAGCTCAATATATGTAACAAATTATCATCAGCTCTATGAAACTCATGTTTCATTGCAGAAGCTATCAATTTCTTGAGGAGCCCTATATATTTGACTGAGTTCTATTAAGCTAATGGTCTTTTTTATGCTGAGTGTCTCTATGCCAGATAGAAAATAAGTTGTACTGTTTTGAAAGTTCATAGCAAAATTATTCCTAAAGATGCACTGAAATTTATAATTTTTTACTGCTTGCACGTTGCAATCTTTTAAGATCATTTTCCAATCCACACTGCCTTCACAAAGGTAAGCCTACTGAAATCAATGGCTTTTTGTTATTATTGTGATAATCTCTATAGTTTAGATTTGGCACAACAGATCCTCCAAAACTGTTTTGAAAATTAGAGCCTAATCCTATTTCCTTTGAAGCTGGCTAGCAGAAGTCTGATAGTTTCAATGGAAGGGTAATTCCTTTTTGTGAATAAGGAAAAGTAGTTATTAAAATAATACTGTCAGAAATGAAGAATTCCATAGTGGTATTCATAAACTCAAAGAACTGAAATACTCACCAAATGCTTATCTCAGAAACAATGAAACACTACATGTTTTACACAGACTTGCTAAAAATTGAAAGGAAGCATCTCTGTATGTTGGTGATACATTCAAACATATGTATACTTCTGTATTTATCATTATTTTCAATTACCATTGCTATTACACATGAACACAGAGTTTCTTTTGTCCAGTTTCAATTTATATATCTGATTTGCTCAATGCTCACTGGCTTCACTTTTAAGGGCATGGAAATTTAAAAGGAAAAGTGGTATTTCTAATGCTACATAGTACCTGTGCTAATTCCATTACAAAATCAGCAGTTTTAATTTTGGAGTTTCTGGTAATTTATTATGCTGTCTATCTCTCTAATCACAATCCAAAATATAGCAATGATTTATGACATATTTCCTTGAAACTGATGATATCCATGAAAATGATGATGTATGTTTCCAAGCAGCTAGAAGGGACCACTCTTGGGGATATTAACAATGCTCATGAGTGCAACACAATGAAACCTATTTTCATCATGGGCATTCATGCTTTTATGCTATTCAAGAGGTATAAAGGACCAGAATGCAGGCTATACTGAGTTTCAGCCTGAAGGGAGCTTCCAGACTGTCTGACCACCATAGCTGGACACTTCCCTGCTGCCTCTGGGGGGCTCCAGTCAGTCCTGAGCTGCTCCTGCAGCACGGTCAGCTGGCCCAGGTCAGAGCAGGAGCCGGGCTGCTCTTCTCTTTGGTAGGACTAGGGCTTGCACTGGATATGCAAAACCACCAGACCGTTGTCACTATTATCTTGACAGACTGCTGCACCCCTGGCACCCAGCAAGATTGGGACTCTGATTTAATCTACTTAAGTGAAGTTGCGCAGAGGTGAGCACATGCCAGGACAATTTTTCACTTCCCTTGGCAGTCCAAGGGTACCCTTCCTGTTCCCTGTGCTGCCAGCCCCTCTCCTAGGTCCCTCCTGCCTCTTGCTGCTGCTGCATTCCCACCCCTGTGCCAGTTCTTGCTTGCGGAAGGTCTGTCCCGCATTTCTACACTCTTTTACATTTGAGGCACTCCCTCAAATGTGAGAAGAGCTGTGTAAGTGGGTTTCAGACTGGGGGCATGGAAGTCAGCCAGGGCAGTAGCAGATGTCCCTCTGTGCCTCCCCTGCATGCTCAGGTAGCCCAGGCATTGCGTTATTCTGTGCCAATGCATGCACAGAATGCAACAGCACTTCAGAACATCAAAATAAAACAGTAGAACCCAAGCTACAAATGCCATCTTGCCCCTTACAAAGAGAAGGCCACAGAATTTTTGTGCTTTCCACATTTAAGATAAAGGAAGGGGCAAATGTGTATGGGTTTTTTTGGTTTTTGTTTTTTTTTTAATACGAACAGGATGAAGCTTCCCTTACCTTTCCTGCTTTGGAATAGCCACTTTCTGGTGCATTCTGTAAAACAGATATTAAATTTCATGCTCTCAGACATCAATATCAGGCTTCCTAAGATCAAGAAGCCAGGAGATGTTTCTTCTGACTGCTGCAAGATCTTTTCTGTCTTCAACCCTTGTGGCATGCTGCTGGCTCCTGCCAGAAATAGAGCACTGCATTAGGCAGACTTGCCTTGAGCCAGATGGACACTTTTGTTGGTCCTAAAATGAAGGTGTATTGATGTAATTACAGAGAAATTTCTGTTTTCAAGTCCAAGTCAGAGAAGCTAAGGCTGCAACCTCAGGGCAGACTGTTCACCGTCTCAGGAAGAAACCTTGCACAAGTCCAGCTTTACACACAGGCCTGGTGAGTTAGAGGAGCCAAATGAGAATCCTCACCAAAGCTGGTGCCTGGGTATCACCCCATCACCTTGACATTCCAGAGTAAATTACCTTTGATAAACCTAAGCCTTTGCAGGAGCCAGCCAGTAAAAGTGTCTGAGCACAAGAATCAGCTTCTGTGCTAACACTGCCCCAGCAAACCAGAGGGATGGGGCTGTTGGCTCCTCAAGTTCTGTGCCTTGACAGTCCCGTGACCACAAAGTGCAATCCAAGATTTCAAAAGGTCTGTGTGTCATCTTTGCAGAGCAGACAATCCCAACTGTAATCTGCACTTTAAGAACAGCCAGTGGGGAAGAGACACTGAACCAGGGCTCTCACTTGAAAGCTTTTGTCTTGGTCCAGAGCAGTGACCATAGTGGAGAATGCCGGAATATTTCCACCCCATGCAAATTTCCCACTTCTGCTACAAGTGACCATCTGCCTTCCCTAGCCAGGCACTTAGGGACGGCTTCTTTTCTAGAGGGATCATGTGATTCGTCTCAACCTTGGCAACAATTTGTATGTTAGTATTTCAGTTTTCAAGCTGTCTTCGTGAAAGAAATAACCCTTACTTTAAAACGAAGAAAGCTCAAAACCGACGCATTCTTTGTATTTCAAAGATCCCGAAAGCAGAGACGAGATGTTCCTCAGCTCTTGGCGCAAATTTGCAGTCAACCACTGCAGACTGGGCCCAGGAAGGTTTCTCACCATCAAAAACCTCGTGGAGCAGACAAATACTGCCTGCCCATGCCAAGGACAGGCGGCACCTGGGTGTGTCTGAGTTTTTCTGCCAGCTCCACCAACATGGAAACCCCACAGGAAACCCTCGCCCGCTTGGTGAATGGGAAAAATTAGACGTTTTCTGGAAAAACTTTCCACACCTAAATTTGGTGCAGGCTCGGCTCGAGCCCGTGCCCGCCGTCCGTGCAGGTGCTCACGCCAGTCCGGCGGGGCCGGGGCCGCCGCTCCGCCTCGCCTCAGCCCGGCCCGGCGGGGCCCAGG